CTGTAGACAAACAGGACATTTTCTTGATTAATGATTGATGGGGGAGGGCCCACTCCACTCTGGGTGGTTCTACTCCTGGGCAACAGGTGGTCTTGGGTTATATAAGAGAGCAAGCTGAGCAAAACATGGAGAGCAAGCCAGGAAGCAGCGATCATGGCCTGTGCTTTAGATCCTGTCTCCAGGTTTCTGCTTGAGTTCCTGTTCTGACATCTTTCCCTTCATGATAAACTGTAAGATAAAATAAGCCCTTTCCTCTCCAAATTGCATTTTGTCATGGCATTTTATCACATCCAAAGAAACTCTGACAAAGACAGTGAGTGGAGGGATGAGTTGAGTGAGTACAGTGTCCTGATGTCCTGTTGTCCTCTCCATCCAGGGCTACTGCCTGTTGTCCACAGAGAGTTCTATATCTTAGGATGCTTGGTAACATTTCTCATCATATTGGCATCCATGAGCAGTGCCTACATCTGTGGAATCCTGGTCTACACCCTGATTATATTTTGCTCCATCAGGTAACCATTGCTCTACATCATGGGGTCAGGGCTGGGCCTCAGGACTCAGGAGACACGGCCAGATGGAGAAACAGGCCAGGAACTGGACACCAGGGTTCATAGGAGGCAGACTCCCAGGACCAGTAGCTAGTGGGAGAGGTGGCTCATGGTGGGGAGCTAGAGACAGATACTGGAAGATGGAAGGGTTAGTCATGCTCTCAGCAGAGAAGAACGCGCCTCATCTTTAGCACTGCCTGTACTTAGGGAGAGTTGGTCATGTGACACATGGGAGGAAGGCTTTCCCGTGCACGGTACAGTGTTGAGCACTGTTCCTGGCACCTGACCACCACTGCCACTCTGCCACTCTGGTTTAGATACCTAAAAATATCTCCAAGTACTCCAAAGGTCAGGTTGGGAGCACAAAACTGGTATGAGATTCAATATCAGTCATGGCGATGGGGCACATGGTGAAATTCTTGCTATGGAAGAATGAAGATTTAAGGGTATGTCTTGGATCATAGTGTTAGAACTTTCAGTTCGTTGTCAGTTGAAAGAATGAAGATTTAAATGTAGAAACCACAGTGTTAGAACTTTCAGTCCGTGGCAGTGTGTGCCTGTAATCCCAGCATTAGAGGAAGTGATGATGGGTATGTTCCAGGGTCTTAGTGGCCAACCACCAGTCTAGCTGAAATGGTAAGCTCTAGGGTCAGAGAGAGAGACTCCTAAAAAGAAAGGTTAGAAGGGCATGCTGCCACACACTGTTTTCCCAGCACTTGGGAGTATTGGACAGGTGGGTCTCTGTGGGTTCTAGGGCAGCCTAGTCAAAACTGTGAGTTCTAGGATAGCTAGGAGATACATAATGAGACAATGGTGTTACAGTGGCAGTGGACGGCGGTGATGGTGAAAGGGAAGCCAATGCTGATAGCATCAGTCAGCTCTCTGCTAACGTATAAAAAGGAGGGTATGTCTTGGATCATAGTGTTAGAACTTTCAGTTCGTTGTCAGTTGCCCACATTGGTACTAGACCAGTGCCAAAGCAAGGCATTCTGGCTTCTCACCTTGTGACAAGCCCGAAAGCAAAGGAGCCAGGCTTCCAGTCCTCCTGCAATGGTCTCCCCTCCAGTAACCTGTGTTACTTTCACTAGGCCCTACCTCTTAAGGGTTTCACAATTCACAGTACCACAGGGACTAGACCTCTATCTAATATGTAGTCCTATAGTGAATGTTCTAGATCCAGTATTCAGCAGAAATTACAGTGATAAAGTTGGCACCACTAGTGATGATGGTGATGACGGTGACATGGGTATGGTGACAATACTTGAGAAAGCTGGCTGAGTATAAGCTAGTCTGTGGAAGCAGCAAGCAGCATCCTCCGTGACTTCTGCTGTCCGCTCTTGATTGTAAGTGAGTTTCTGAGTTGGATGTCAGATTGTGTGGATCAACAAGAAGGCCTACTTCAGGTTCTGGCCTTGATTCCTTCACTGATGGGCTGTCATCTGCAACTGTTCCCTGAAACAAACCTTCTCCTCCCTACGTTGTTTTGGGCTGGGTGTTTTATCACAGCTATAGAAGTGAAACTTGAAAGCTGGGTTAGGCTAATTATTTTTCTGACATTATTATAAATTAATATTAAAAAATATGGGTTCATCTCTTCCACAGGCATGTGTGTAGGGGAAGAGTTGGGCCCCTTTAATCTGTTTCTTTCCTAGGACTTTAGGAACATAAGATGTGACTTTTCCCCTCGTTTCTTCTCACAGAAGAAACCGGGCATAAGAGTCCATGGCAGACCTACAGGACAGCCCAGCCAGGCAAGGAGGTGAGGGAGACAGGGAGAATGAGTCTCCCCTGGGTACCAGCTGAACTGGGCCAGCACAGGGTGTCTCTGGAGGAATATTCTGGGGAGGGAACCATCCCGGTCTCGGTGAGGTGAAGAAACCAAGGCTTCCAGATGAATTGGAAGACTCTGTGTGGGACCTGGATGAGGGGTGATATCTCGGGCAGCCTGGCCATTAGCAGCACCGTCTGCCAATCAGAGCTGGCAAAGCTGAGACAAGGTCATGTGAGAGCTACAGGCTCTGATTCCAGAATCTCCCTCCTCTGGTGTTTCCAGCTCCACATCCTTTCCCTGACACCAGGGAATCTTGAAAAAGCCTCAAAGATGCTAGGTTCAGTGTTGCCACTGACAGAAATTAAGTGATTTTGAGCTCAGACAACAGGTGTCATTTGCTTAAATGGCTTCACACACACACAGGCTTAGGAAGCACACTGGCTGAGGGACTTCACAATGAGGAAGGCTGGCGTCTTCTAAGTTATAGATGAATAAGCACAGCCACATCTGATAGGGCACAGAGCCACAGAGATGACATCAGAGACAGAAAGAACTGATCAGGGGCTGGAGGAAGAGTGCATATTGCTCTTGCAGAGGACCTGAGTTGGGTTCCAACGACCTGTGTTGGGCAGCTCACTGTCACCTGTAACTCCAGCTGCAAGAAATCTGTCACCCTCTTTTGAACTCAACAGGAATGGCACTTCTCTCTCTCTCTCTCTCTCTCTCTCTCTCTCTCTCTCTCTCTCACACACACACACACACACACACACACACACACTTGAAAATATAGATAAATATTTAAGAAAGCATGTGGCATATAGCTGTGATACCAGGATTCAGCAGCTGGAAGCAGGAGGCTCAGGAGTTCAAGGTCATCCTCAGCTATATAACAAGTTCTAGGCCAGCATGGGATACATGTGACCCGGTCTGTCTTAGTCAGTGTTCTATTTCTGTGAAGAGACACAATGGCCATGATAACTCTTATAAAAGATGACATTTAATTGGGGTTTGCTTACAGTTCAGAGGTGTAGTCCATTATCATCATGACGGGAAGCATGGTGGCAGGTAGGCAGACATGATGCTGGAGGAGGAGCTGAGAGCTCTATGTCTGGATTGGCAGGCATCAGGAGGAGAGAGTGACATTAGGCCTGGGTTGAGCTTCTGAAACCTCAAAGCCTACACCCCGTGACACCCTCCAAAAAGGCCACGCCTACTCCAACAAGGCTTCACTTCCAATAATGCCATTTCCTGGGTCTATAGGGCCATTTTCATTCAAACTATCATACTGTCTCAAAAAATCAAATAAAAAGTATAGATTAATCAGCAATGATACATGTAATATGTACAGGACAAATACAGGTTCAGTACGGCTTTATGTTAACATGAAAGTGAAAAAATTTGCCAAAAATATTAAGTATCACCACTGTTCCCTCTTATGTTAGTTTCTTTCTTCATGCTTTGTATTCTAAAGTGCTTTTCATTCACAAAAGACATGCACTGGCTTTAAAAATCAGGAAATGGAAGCCAAGTTAAGACACCTTGGATAGCTCCTCAGCATCCACAGTGCTCTGTCTGACTTTCTCTGAGATGTATTCATCAGTGCATCCCAAATAGCAAGGCAGAGTTGAGCAGCATCTCTGTCAAATTGTCTATCTATCTATTCATCTATCTATTCATCTATCTATCTATCTATCTATCTATCTATCTATCTATCCAGTTTGGGTTTGAATGTATGTGGTCCACACAGGCAATATTTTCTAAAGCCAGAGTCTTTAAGACATGTGTCCCAACCTGTAGAAGCAGGTGTTGGGTATGGACCTGGAAGAGGGATATCTATTTCTGGTTCTGGCCTAAGCCCACTGTTTGCTGATCCACCAAGATATGTGGAGCTCCCACCACATGGACCCACTGTCTTAAGCACCTCGTTGCCTTCCTCACCATGAAAGACAAAAACCATAATAAGAAAGAAGGATCATAATAAGCCCCTCCACCCTTCATGTTTCTGTCAGTGTACTGCCAACAAAGATAAGAAAAATAACTAATACATACAACATGAAACTAGAAAGGGTAGGGAAACTGTTTGGGTAGGGAAAGGGGACTAGCAACTAACAGAAGACAGACAGGAGAAAGTAACAGGGATGAACAATGCCAAAGTACATGATACTCTTGGGAGAAAATACTGTCTCAAAACGTATCACAGTGTAAACAATACATGCTAATTTTTAAATAAAAGTTAAATCTAAAAACCAATCTCAGGACTGGAGAGATGGCTCATTGGTTAACAACACTGGCTACTCTAACAGAGGACTTGGGTTCAATTCCTAGTGCCCATGTGGCAGCTTGCAACCCTCTACAACTCCAATTCATGGGATCTGATGACCTCTGCAGGCACCAGGCATGTAAATGGTGCACAGATACACAAGCACACAAAACACCCACATGCATACAATTAAAAGAAAGTCAAGCTTATGGTTTCCTGGGCGCAATAGTGGTTGCCAGAGCCTGAGGATTGGGTGGACAGGGAGTGCAGGGCATGAGCATTAGAAGAACTCCAGCGTGATGAGAGAAATAGCTCTGAAGTCCCTTGCAGGGCATTGGGCCAGTGGACTCATTCCTTCTCCAGAGCCAGTCGGGATCTGTGGCAGCTGCGCTGCCTCCAGCCATGGTCACGGACATGCAGGTCACTTGTGGAACTTTATCTCCGAGTACTCAGTGGCGACCTGTGTACCCTGTGGATTCCTGGGCTGCATCTCATGAAAGCTGAGGGATGCATAATGTGCCTCTTCCTCTGTAGATGAGGGGGCTGCCTCGGCTGTGGGAGGCAGGAGTTCAGAGCTGCCATCTGCCTGGGGTTTAACCAGGGGACTCTGTATAAAGAGAGGAAGAGAGAGAGAGTCTGGGTAAGGACAGCAGGGACCCTTGAGACCCCTCACCCACTATCACACACACATTTAAAATTGTAAATTGTATGTATGTTGTGTAGGGGTATATGCACACATGGTGCAATGCCCATGGAGTCCAGAAGGGGGCCTGTGACTCCCTAGAGCTGGAGTTAAAGGAGGCTGTGAGCTGCCAGATGGGTGCTGGGAACTGAACTTATGTCTTCTGCTAAAGCAACACTCTGAACCACCGAGCCAGTTCTCCAGCCTCCCGTGTGCATTTTTGTTGAAATCCTTTATTCCTACTTCCTCCAAACATTTAATACTTAACCAGCACGGTACTATTTTTGTCTCTATTTTATAGGTCTGAAGCTGAGATGGAAATAGGCAAGCAACTTGTCCAGACTCCCCAGCAAAGCTGGTGCACAGCTGCCAACCTAGACTCAGGAGGCAGAGCAGGAGACTCACATTCAAGACCGACCTGAACTATCATAATAGGCCATAAAGAGAAACCCAAACCAAAATCCCAGTCAAAACCATGATCCAACAGCACCGCTGGTGTAGTAGTATCATGCAACATTCCTATTCTTAGCCGGGCGGTGGTGGCGCACGCCTTTAATCCCAGCACTCGGGAGGCAGAGGCAGGCAGATCTCTGTGAGTTCCAGCTAGTTCCAGGCAGCCTCCAAAGCCACAGAGAAACCCTGTCTCAAACAACAACAACAACAAAAACCATAATCCAGTGCTTCTGACCCCAAAGCCTAGGAGTGTACTAGGAACCCTTGTGTGAGATTCACAGATGGTGGTTGGATACTTCAAGGTGGAAAGGACGTGCTAGACATAGGACCATGGCCTATGCTTTTTTTTCTTGATATGTGTATGTTCCCTCTGTGTGTGGTGTGGATATATGTGTGAATACAGAGGCAGGAAGTCTGTATCATGTGTCTTCCTTTATGGCACTCTGCCTTATTTTTAAGACAGAATCTCTCACTAAAACTGAAGCTCATCATTTTAGCCAGGTCCAGTTGTCTCTACCCCCCCCCCCAAACACTATGGTTGTAGGTCTGTGCCACTGTGCCTGGTTCTACATGGGTGCTGGTGATCCAAACTCAAGCTCATTACCAAGCACTGAGTCATCTCCTCAGCCTCAGCCTCCTGCACTTCATTCATTAACTGAGGATGGCATGGCAGGGTCTATTCGAACTCTCAGCAGGGTGCTTCTGTAATCCCTGTCCTTGGAAGGCCCATGGCAGAGGGACTCCTGTGAGGCCAGTCTGAACCACACCATGGTTACTGGCTCTGACAGGAGTATATAGCAAGACACATCTCACAACAAAGCAAGTGAGTGATATGGGCAGGGAAGGGTCAGTGACAGAGGTGCAGTGTCTTGATTCAGGCATGGTGCCCACCTTCCAGAAGCTCACAGTGTAGTACCATAGGGTAAGAACAGTCAGTCAAAGATTTTATACCTGATGGGAAGAATAATGTCCCTTAAGAAGCTCAGACCCAGAACACCTAGACCCTGTAAACGTGTATCTAGGAGGAACTTCACGGTGGTGCTGAGCTAAAAAGCCAGATCAAATGGAAGCTGTGTGAACATGCACTCAAACATACACCAGGCTGAAAGAAAGTAGACACAACGCTTTTAATGCATACAACCCAAGGGATATCCAAGTTTAACCCTGCCCACATTTCCTGCTGTGAAAAGTAGTTTGTGTGTGTGTGTGTGTGTGTGTGTGTGTGTGTGTGTGTGTGTGTATCTGTGTGTCTGTGTGCAAGTAATTGTGGTACCCGTGGAGGCCAAAAGAGTGTATTGGATCCCGTGGAGCTATGGTTACAGGCAGATATGAGCTGCCTGATGTGCATGCTGAAACTGAGCTCGAGTCTTCTGCAGGAGCAGAGAGCACCTTTAAACTGCCAGCTATCTCTCCAGCTCACTTGCCTACCTTTGAATGAACCTTGCCAGTAACAGTTGCCTAGAGTAGGGCAATATCATCAAACACAAAGTCTATTTTATAAAAAAGTGTTGTTTGCTTGGGCATGTATTGAATAGTCACATAAAAAAGAAAAAAGCCGGACAATGGTGGTGCACACCTTTAATCCCAGCACTTGGGAGGCAAAGGCAGGTGGATCTCTGTGAGAGCTACAAAGCAAGTTACAGGTCAGCCAGGACTGTTACACAGAGAAACCCTGTCTTGTAAAGAAAAAAGGAAAAATAAAACAAAAGCCACGGGCCACACACCTCATGGCCTTGGGGCCATGGACTGGGGGCTGTGGCCCCTGACTACTGCCCACAATCACAGGAGAGTATTGCTGCTGGTACCAGTAAATAATCAAAACTCAAACTTTGAAGAATGGTTTCTACAGAATGGGCTTTGCCTTGATGTGATGTTAAAGCTAAAAACTTCTAAGCTGGGCTGGCAAGATGGCTCAGGGGGTAAAGGTGCTTGCTGCTAAGCCTGATGACCTGAGTTCACTCCCTGGCACCCATATGGTGGAAGGAGAGAACCAACTCCTGAAAGTTCTCTTCTGACTGCCACTTGCACACCCTGGCTTGCAGACACACACACACACACACACACACACACACACACACACACACACACACACACAAAATACACAAACAAATGAATAAATAAATGTAATAAAATTCTTAAAAAGAAAACATAAGTCTAAAATTTCATAAGTGGAAACATTGTGAGCCTGGAGATTTTTACCTGAACCCTCAACCCTGTCAATCAGTAAAACAGTACACACAGAGTTGGAGAAATGGCTCAGAGGTTAAGAGAACACACTGCTCTGCCAGAGGACCAGAGTTCAGTTCCCAGTCCCCATGGTACCTGTAACTCCAGCTCCAGCGGAACTGACTCCCTCTCCTGTCCTCCATGGGTACTGCACTCAAGTGTGTGTACCCAACATGAAATTAAACAGTAATAGTAATAAGAAAGGAAGGAGGGAGGGAGGGGAGGAGGGAAGAAGAAAGGAAAAATATTTGTTCTTTTGTAAATCGTTTTGCTTTGGTTTTTCAAAACAGGGTTTCTCTGTGTAGCAGTCCTAGTTGTCCTAGAACTTGATTTGTAGACCAGGCTGACCTTGAACTAATAGAGATCCTCCTGACTCTGCCTCCCAAGTGCTAGAATTAAAGGCGTGCACCACCACCTCCCAGCGTTGTAACTAGTTTGTTGTTGTTGTTTGTTTGTTTGTTTGTTTGTTTTTGTTTTGGTATTTTAGTTCTCTGTTTTATCCCAGACTGTTTCCTGTAGTCTCTTCACCCTCAGAGACTGGCATCTCTCTCCTCCTGCCTGCTCAAGGCAAACATCTGTGTCAGCTTCCAACCTCTTTCCCTCGGCATCCTCTATCTTCTGTTACTCAAACCCCACCCTCAGCCCACAGTTACTCCCTTCATTTCTGCTTCATGTGCTACCCAGCAGCCAGTCCAGATTCCCTCCACATCATCTCCAGCCTCGTTCCTAACGCCTCTGCCTCTGTGTTTCCCTTGCTAAAGTGTTTTCCTGCCTGTTGCATCCAGAGGTGGCCACGGAAGTTAGTAAGATTGTTGATTCTAGAAATTAGTTACATTGTTCCTTCTCCATGGATGTTACAGCTAGATTGTTCCTTCTTGTACTCACTAGTAGTGGTTTGTTTGCCCAGAAATGATTTACACACTCAACTTCTCCAAAGTAACTTCCTGTCAAGGCCCATGCTTCCCTTGTCTCTTTACACAGCTCTCATGGCTACCTTTCCACTCGCTGGCTGCCTCTTGTTTCTGAGAATTGGTGCCTGCTCCTTCCTCTGCCTGAAATAATCAAATGGAAGAATCCAGTCTCCCTCATCACTAACCAAAACCACATTCAACCTACAGAAAATATTTAGAAACCATGCATCAAGCGAGGGGTTAAGAGTCAGAGCAGATAAAGAATATCTATCATTCCTCAATGACAAACAACTCAACCAGAAAAATAGGCAAAGACCTGGAATGGACATTTCTCCAGAAAGATATGCATAAAAGAGATATTCACTATTATTATTAGAAAACGCACATTTAAACCACAAGGAAGTAACACCTCACATTCATTAGGATATCCACTATTAAGATAATACAAAAAGAAAACAATATAGCCAGCGTTTATGAACACATGGAGAAATGGGATCCCTTGTGTAGTGCTGGTGAAAATGTAAAATGTATTGTACTGAAAATACAGTCTCGGTCTTTCACATTTGTGAATGTGCACATCACAACAGTAAACAGGTAGCAGAAATTCAGAAGTTGGTTAAAGAAACAGTGTTACATACACATATACTGGAATATTACCAACCTTCTAGAAAGTCAAGTAAACTTGTAATGTGCTACAATATGATGGAGCCTGAGGACATGTGTGAAATGAAGAAAACCAGTCACAAAAAGACAAATGCAGATACCACATGGGAGGTATGTGAAGAAGTCAAATTCTCTCTCTCTCTCTCTCTCTCTCTCTCTCTCTCTCTCTCTCTC